TGAGATGGTTGCTTTCGTTCTGTTCCAAATTACTTTGAAAATAATTGCAGCCGAGCATATGCTGACGAACAGGAGACAATTTGATGATAGGCAAGCTTCGCTAATTCAGCTAAATCTCCTTAGCGTATATTTTCATGTTTATACCCAACGTTGCCAGAATATAAGTAACTCTCTATTCTCAAATTTGGACAATCGTGGCTACACTCATTGTTCTATTGTCTTTCATTGTTTTGGTTTTATTAGTCGATAATCTGTTGTAATGTTGGAAACTTTAGCTCCAAATTCCTCATAGCCTTTTTCAACAAAACCTGTTTCTTAGGTGCATTCGGATTGCTAATTTCCGAGTTATTTTCTATTAGCATCTAACTTTATCAATATATGGTTTTATTCAAGCGTTCTTGTTCATTTTTGCAGAGAGCTTTACCATGTATCTGCTGGCGAAAAAGCTTACATCAACATTTTAGAGTAGATGGGTCAGATTCGAATGCAAAATTTTTTTCCAGTTGTTCTGAATAGTTTGATATATTGATGAAATGATTGATTTATTTGAATATAGCTCATTTTGTAGTTTGACTCATACTACTATTGGAGCTAGTCGTAAGTAAATGTGACCGAAGCGATCATATGAATCCTTTCTGAACCATTTGACTTTTAAAAAGACAAGAATGGAGTAATTCTGCCTTGAGCAAAAGAATCACTCTCCATTTCAATCGTTTTTATTCACCTGTTGATGGATGTGAACAATCAAGATACCTAATTTGATATTTTTGAGCAGGATTTGACATTGATTCCGTATGTAGAAGGGTTTTATTTCGCAGCATTGTTATTGATCACAACAGAGACCAAGTAGTCTTGGTTTCCGACTAGCGTTATGAAGCACTTCTACATCTGTCTGTCGAAATTAAGCATAAATCAAATAAATTTTACTTTTAGTAAAGATGATTCTACACTGAGCCTCACCTCATTTGAAAACGTTCCGTCGGCTATAATCCTATGTAATTGAAGTTTATTATAAGCAATAGCGAGAAGTTTTTTCGAACACTATTTATAGCATTAACCTTTCTCTTATTAATAAGTGACCAGTTAGCAGAGCAATTTTAAGTACAAGAAATCATCAATAAAATGATCGTTCAGCTTAAGAATGATTATCACGAAGAAAAATAAGTGTAAATATTGAATTCGTCGAATAAATATGAATTCCATGAACATAGTAAAACAGCACGATACGATAGAAGCTCAGGATTGCAGAAGAACGATTATGAGTGTTTGGATCAATCTTAAATAGAAAGTCTCGATTATTATTAAACATAAGATGTAATACGCGTTTTTCAAAACGTTGTTTTTTCTTTTTCAGCAGTTTTTCAGCGTTAATATCTACTATATCATTACACGTGGCATTTAGCGGTGTAACTAGTGCGAGGGTCGATGAGGTCTAAACCCTCTCTATAATTTTTTTCTGGTTATGCTGCTAGTGGCCTTTTCTTCATCATCTGGCTTGATCACTGACGTTCTAAAACAAGAATATTGTAGAATTTCAGCTTTAGAAAAGTCAGAACTGACATGCAAACATGTTTCTACAAAATTATAATTCTATTCATAATTTTTATGGAGGGCTATTGATGAGCCATCGAATTGCAGAATCATAGGACTAGGATTCGAAAACGCCTGTGCAACTATCATGTGAATAATAATACATGAGAATATTGTATCATTTTGCTTTTGATTTTGAAATCTTAATGTTTAACATGAAAAAATTATCAAAATATGATTTTGCTCATTCATTTTTAACTGTCGTGTCACCTGTAGTGTACGATACATTTTGAAGTCCATTTTCTCTAGAAGCACCAACTGCTTTTACAATGCAAGACCCAGAGAAGAATTCATTGCTCTCTAAGCTGAATCGCGATGTTCTAAATGCCAGAAGCTCTATTTCAACTTGGCAACGAGCTCAGTTTGCTTGCTCGAGCCGTCTCATCGCGTGCATAGTCAACGAAAAACTTGTCAACACGGAACAGCGAGGAGATTTAATGATCGCTCTTAGACCTCTATTGAGCAAGAATGACGGTGACGACAACAGATCGTTATTGATTACATTGGTACATCGTTTGAGTGCCATAAATCTTGATAGAGAGGATATTGCTCCGCTAGGCATTCATGATCTTGAGGGTGCACTTGTTCTCGATCCTCAAGATATTTGTGAGCGACTCTTGCAAAACGTCGATATGAATCCCGGTCGTTTCGAGATTATGGTCAACGAACTTATCAATTCTGTCAAACACCAAGGTAATAAAGTCGATGGTGATAGTTTAGATTAGAAGGGCTGATGTCATTCTATTTATCATAGACTGGCTGTTTCAGCATTTGCCTGCTTTACCCAATCTAAGATCGACTTTCATCGAATGGGAGCAATATTTGATTGAGGGTCATCCTACACATCCTGTGAGTCTGTTTATTTATTTCTCGACGTCTTAGAAGTCAAATGCTTTTTTCTTGCTCAGATGCATCGAAGCCGGCAACCACTGACCGGCTCGCCCATTCTTCCCATTGACGGTTCGATCTTTTCGCGTCCGAAAATCAAGTTTGTCTCCGTTCCACGATGTCATATTGTCATTCATGGTGAATACGAAGCAATCATGGTCGGCTACTTACCTGCCGCTCTTGGTCCAGATCATGTAGTCTTACCGGTACACGAGTTGCAGTTACCCAATGTTTTGGCACGTTTTTCCGATGTAGTGCATGTTTGTGAGCTCGAGCGCGACTCTTTTGCACATGCCTCGCTACGATGTGTATCGCCGTTGCCTGCATCCGATCTACCCGGCTTTCACCTCAAGCTTCCCCTGGCCGTCTTTATCACATCTGACTTACGCGCTCTAAGCACCGTTGCGGCATATAACGTACCTCGGCTTACACCCCTTCTCAAAGCCATAGCACCCGCATGCCTCGTTGTAATCGGTGAACCAGCCAGTATTGGATCAACACACCCGAATACGGATATCAGTCGACATCTGTCATGCATTGTCCGCGAGGATCCTGAATTATTGATGCCGGGTCAGACATGTATCATTGCCACTGCGTTGGTAGAGAAAGATACCCAGGGTATACCTGTGTTAATTAACATGTTGAAGTTGGATTCCAAAGAGAAACGGATGAAATTTTTGCAGAAGTAAGTAAATTTTCTTTTTCAAGAAACTGAATGTCGCTATGTCGTCATACCAAAGAAATGAAACATGTTATAAAGATAAGTTTTGCATCAAATTAACGGAAAGCTAATTACTACAGCCAAAGGCAGAGAAATATTTAACAATGAAGTTAGGATGATGAAACATACGTTGTACTTGATCTTTTAAACAATGAATCAATGATACTTAAGCAAGAAGGAAAAAGAGCCGTTAAGATTGATACGGAATTTTAAACTGATTAAAATCTATTACAAAATCTAACCAGAAATTCTTGACCCCTGCTAAGCTCTGCGAGAATACGCGAGAATCTACTTCTTTTTGCTTGGCTTTAAACTGATCTGAAGCACGAAAGTTTCCGATTCATTTTCATCATTTGACTGCAAACAAATGGGGTTTGCAGGCGACAACAATCTTATGCCAGTTTTCCCTGTTTGCAGCAGTCTTCCGGATTTCGTCGGTTGTTGGTGGTTCGTTATTGTTGATCAGTCTTGCGACGTAATCAGGATAATTTAAACGGGGACGACCACGTTTGCGTTTTCCATGGCCAGGTTTCGGTGTGTACAGAGCATACATGTTAATAAATTCGTTTGTATTTCTACGGAGACAGTGTCCAATGAAACGCAATTGTCGACGTTGTATTGTTTGTGTTAGAGATTCTTGTTTGACCATTTCTTAGATTGTATTGTTTGATATTTTGTCCAGTCGTTTAATGTTGAGCATGATTCTATAACAGCTGGTGGCAAAACTGTTTAGGGTAGTTTCGAGCTTGTTTGTGATGATCCAACTTTCACAGCCATATAATAATATTGAGACACATGAAGCTTTAAATATCTTGATTTTAAGTTGAGTTGGAATTGCTGTCGACTTCCAGATATTCTTCATTTTCCAGAAGGCTTTCCATGCTTGACCTTTTCGTACTTTAATATCAGTGATACTGGATAACATCATTGATCCGAGGTATTTGAAGTTGTCGACCCATTCAATATCTTGTCCATTAAGTTGTATTGTGTTGTTGTTTGTATTTTGATTGGTCAATGCTTGAGTTTTCTTGGTGTTGATTTGTAGACCTACTTTGTTAGCCCATTTAGCTGTTTGAGTGAGTTGTGCTTGTGCTCTTTCAAGGCTACTTTCTAGAAGCGCTATGTCATCGGCGAAGTCAAGGTCGTGTATAGTTGTTGCTGGTTGTCGACTAGATTGTCGCTTGTTAGTTACGAAGCCGTGTTCTCCCTTTTCATTAGTATGATCTAATTGAGCATTTTTCATGACATAGTCGATCACGATTATGAAAAGAAAGGGTGCTAAGGTGTCTCCTTGTAGAACACCAGTCGTCACGTCGAATTCTTCAGAGACGTTGCCGTCTACGAGAACTACGCTTTTAGATTTATGATATATGGCTTCGATTGCGTTTACTATTTTGACAGGCACACCATAGTGTCTTAAGATGTTAAACATTGTTTTTCTATTGATTGAGTCGAAGGCTTTCTTGAAGTCGATGAAAGTTATAAAGATTGGAAGTTGCTTATCAATTGCGCTTTCTAAGATCCTGCGGATGACATGAATCTGATCAATGCAATTTCGTCCTTTCCTGAAACCTGCCTGGTTTATCCTAAGAATCGAGTCAAGTGGTTCTCGTATTCTATTTAACAGGATTCTGTTATAGGTCTTAGCAGCGACTGACATAAGACTAATGCCTCTGTAGTTCGTCATAAGCGTTTTATCACCTTTCTTTTGTATTGGTATTATTATGTTGGTGTTGAATTGTGTTGGTGTCTGATGGTTTTCATAGATTTCGTTGCATATATTGCATAGTTGATTTATTATCTATTTGCCACCATACTTGAGTACTTCAGGTGTTATTGCATAGTCGAGTCCAGGAGATTTTCCATTTTTTAATTGTTTGACTGCTTGTTCCACCTCTTCGATTGTGATAGGACCTTGATTGATTGGTAAGTCTTCAGGAGCTGGTGGAATTGCTTGAGTATCTTGAGAAGTGTTTGATTTGACGTTGAGTAAATCTTCGAAATATATTTTCCATTCTTTCATAAGTTCATTGGTTGAGTTAATTTTGGTGCCATCCGTTCGTTTGATCTTCGATGCGTTGTTATATCTACGTTTGCCGCTAATTTCATCTACTAAGAACCACGTTGTTCGCAACTGATATGATGCTGCAGCTTGTTTGAGTTGTTCGAGTTTGTCTTCTAGGAATTTGATTTTGTCATTATTGTAAGACATATCGAGTTGTTCGTTGACTGTGTACCAGTGATTTTTATTGTCTGTGCTTGGATGTTGTTTGAACTTGGCTTTGGCATTGTTTCGTTGTTGGAGAAGATTAATGGTATCAGTGGAGACCCATGTCTTTGTGTTCTTCCGTGTTGACTTTCCCACCAGATTTTCTGTTGTTTCTTGTATGCTTGTTACGAAGTTGTCATATTTTGTTTGAATGTTGTCGTCAGGATTACGGCTGTTTAAGATTTCATAACGATTTTGTACTTCTATATTGAATTGGGATTGTAATGTGGAGTTATGTTGGAGTTTGTTCCAGTCATACTTGATTCTTTTACATTTGCTATTTTTTGGTGCTCGAAGGCTGATTGATAATTTAGCACTCACAATGCGATGGTCAGAGTTCAATTCAACTGTGTTGTATGCACGAACGTTTCGAACTGAGTTTAGCCATTTTCCATTTATGAGGATGTGATCAAGTTGAGCTTTAGATTTGCCATTTGGGTGTAACCAGGTCCATGATCTTGATTGTGGTTGTGGAAAACGAGTTTGTGCTGAGCGCATGTTGCAGGCTTCGCAGAAATTTACGAGCCGGTTGCCGTTGTCGTCGGTTGAGTGGTGGTATGTATATTTGCCAATTGTTCGTGGGTTTGTTGTGTGACTATCAGAACCTATTCTTGCATTGAAGTCACCAGCAAGAATCAGAACATTGTGTGGCGGAACGTCATGGGTACATTTTTCTAGTTCATCGTAGAAGACATCTTTTTCTTCATCATTTTTGTCTTCCGTAGGTGCATAGGCAATGATGATTGTTATTGTTGGGTTGCCTTTGAAGTGCACCATCATGAGACGATTGGATATCTTTTCAGATGAGCCAAAGAATGCTGACATTCTAGGATTTATGAGCAATCCAACACCTCCGTGTCCTTCTGATGTTGCTGAAGAGTACTCGAAGCGCCATGTTGCATTATTCAGTGTTGTATAGCACGTGCTTGTTTGTTCTGGTGTTTGCCAGCGATGTTCTTGAATTGCTACCAAGTCGATGTTGTTTTTATTGCATCCATATATAAGTTGATGTAATTTTCCAGTTTGCTTGAGAGTACGTACGTTGTAGGTAGATATTGTGATGGCCTTGTGGTGTGTTTTTGTGTTTTTTGAATTTTTATTTTTTATTCGAATCGCCGTTGCGTTTTCAAAGACAGGTACCTGCCTTATCATGGGTTGCTCAGACTTTTGTGAAGTCCTCGCTTGCATACGACGAGTCGAAAGACTGTTGCCCGGAATGGGTTCTTCGATTGTTGTTTTCGGAGTCATTGTGAAGCACGCCTCGGGTGACTAGCCCTGAGGCGCTTACCAGAGCCCATCTTAGCCGTCGAAAACGACGTTTCCATCCGACACTGCGTGGAAGTGAAGGGTTGGATTTTGTCGGACAGTTTCCGATTAGTCTGGATTAATAAATCAGTTCAGTGAATCATTGACCTTTTTTTTACTTACTTGATAGATACGCACAACTGGCTTTTGCGTCTTTCCTTCCTCCTATGATCCAGCACATTGTGCATTCAACTAAAGACATACCGAGAAGAGACCCCATTCACCCTTGCATCTACCATATATGCCAGCATTTACGAACGACCCCTGGCCTAGGTTTCGAAGCTCACGGTCAGAACACCCTCACAAGATTCGATCCCGATACTGGCGAACTTCTAGGATTTGCTATTCGGGACTTGAACGGCATCAAAGTGCATGTAACCACGTTTCATGACAGCACTAAATTGAAACTCGACATATATGTTGGAAGCTACATTATTGCTGAAGATCTCAAGGCAGTCTACGAACATGTATTTCATTGTCTCATCCAGAGTCAACTGCAACGGCTTGTGCGTGCACTCGACTTACATTATTGTGGTACAGGATGGGCGATCATTCGCGAGGAAGCTCGTCACTGGATAACCGAGGGATCACCTGCAGATCGTATCTGGTTCAGTACCACTGTACGATTCACTAATTTTGTTAGCACGAAAATGTGCGATGACCGTTGTGATGTAAGCTCTCTCTTTTCCAACATTCATCAACTCGTTCATGTTTAATTATTTCCCCTATTCTTTAGTACGTGCGCAGTCAAGTGCCAAATATCCTTTTGTTCACAGGTATTTTCAACGAAGACGACAATATCTCGCCTGAGAACAAACCCCAATAAACAAGCCACACAGTTACTCGCTAAAATATATCGATTT